CGGTATGGTATTGTCAACCTTGGTTCTGGCCCCATAAGTGAATTTTTGTTATTTTTAAACTTTGTCCTAACACGTTGAACCGGCTAGTCAGTTGGTTCACTGCTTTACCAATTTTCTCGATTCATACTGGTTTTTACTGGGTCAACCCCACAAATGGTTTTACATATTTGATCAGACCAAATTAGCAATTTGGTAATAGTTCAACTATTTAACTGATCGGTTCGGCCCAATTTTAAGAACACTAGTTCATTTGTTTCAGTAGCTCTCACTAAGTGTACTGGTTGATTTTTTAAGGAAAATGAGAGGTATATATTCAGTTTAACACGCTTTTTGATATTTGTCTAGTTTAGTTATTAAAATATAATATAAAAATAGCCTAATTCAATTAATTTTACATCTTGAATCTCATTGAAGCATCTTAAATTTATTTGTCTTTAATTTCATATCAGAAAATAATAATTTTGAAAAAAATATAATATATAGTGTGTTAAATTAAAAGATATATTAATTATTATCTATATTTTAATCTTGAATAATGATATGCTAGTGCATTGCACTTTTAGATTAAGGGTTAATTTTTTTTGGTTTTTTTTTTTTTTTATCGTTAAGGCATTCCTATTCTTTACCCCTATAAGCACTTGAGTCTCCTCCCTATTTCCGCTGTTGATTTTGCACACAACATTATATTATAATCCCAGTTTTATCTTTTATCCATAAAAAAGATTTAGCATCCGCTTGATATAACGATATAAGCCTAACGATTTGGAGATAGTGATTAGTAGTTTTACCTAAATTGTCAAAAATATATGTTTAGTCCACTTATTTATTTTGAAACCACCATAAATTAGTTGTTTGGTCAAATTTTTTATTTAACCATTTAGAGCCAATGAAAAGTAATTGGGATCTAAACTACTAGTATATTGAAAAAACTACCTTAGCTTTTTACTCCAAACTGTTAGCATTTTTTTAATTTAAAAATAATATAATTTTTTTTATTAAAAATAGAGATGAATATGTGATTACACTATTATAATTTATTTTGAAACCACCATAAATTAGTTGTTTG